GGCGTTGTTGATCGAATTAGCGTGGGCACAGAGCTCTCTTATGGCACATTTGGCAATCGCGCTGTTCCAAAACAAAATACATATAATTTTTGATTTTGTGGTATATTCTTTTTGATCACAGAAACAGTTTATGGTTGCAATATTTCGATCTTAGTGGCAGGACAAGCAAAGTAAGTTGTCCGGAAATTTTATGTGCAATCAATCGCTATCAATGTCTATTTTGGCAACGTGAAATAGCTTTAGAAAATAAATTAAATCTGATATGAAACTAATACAAACTTAAAATTTGGATATTGGTTAGCTGCTAAAATCGTCCCTCATGCAACCATATCGAGCGTCGCCTCTGTTATATTCGAAAAGAAATTCAAACCATAACAACATCAGTGCGCTTATGAATACATATTACTCCTGGGACCTTTTGGGTTTTCCAATAAGTGAACAATATTTCCCATATCTGATCACAGTTTTCCGAAAAAGGCTCATGTCAGACTTAGAGAAGCTTTGGCTCGTTCCACGTCTAGAAGGTTTTACAGCAACACTTATTACCTCCGCCAAGGAGGTTATGTTTTCACCCCTGTTTGTCTGTTTGTTTGTCTGTCATCAACATAACACAAAAAGTTACGGGCCGATTTTGATGAAATTTTCAGGAACTGTCAGAAGTGGGCCAAGGAACAGATGATTAGTTTAGTGGTGGTGATCCGGATCTATAATCAATTAATTATCAATAATAATAAAAAATTGCTGCCTTGGCGGAGGTCTGCGCTCTCGGAGTGCTTTTCTAGTTTGTTGATGGAACTTGGGGGAGGGGGTTCAGTGGTGCTAGCAAGCTTCTGCTACATATTATTATTACAATTGTTCGTCTTCTTGGTACCACGTGCCACTAATACGTCATATATATTTTAAAATTCCAATTTTTGCACTGTTTGTAAAATACCCTTTGGATTTACATGTACAGTATACTATCCAAAAAGACACTGACGTTTTGTTATGACCTTGGTTTTATGGTTTTATGAGTCACCCTCCACCATTCTTCCACCAGTGCAACTCTGAACTCTATACCGGTGGTAGGCTGTGGCTGTCGTCCGCCCAGATCCCCCCAGGCACGCTCAATGGGATACATGTCTGGTCTAAAGTAGTCTGGATCTGCTACTGCTACAGACACACCTGTGTTATCCTGGCAGCATGGGAACGGGCGTTGTCCTGCTGAAGCAAGCGTTGGGTTGGGTGTTGATGCATAATTAGCACAACAACCGTCCTTAAGACTTAATATCTGTGCTGCTGGTCAGTGAGATTTCCATAAACCACTGCATTCACCATGAAGTCTGCCTAGAAATTGCCAGTTATGCCCACCAAAACCCATAAAACTGTGCCAACGGCAATGACAAGTAACACGACCACTGTCCTGGTAATATTACCACCAATCCCTGCAATCACCGGGATGTCTTTTTGGATAATGCCACTCCCACCACCAACCCACACCCCCAAACCATAACACTGTGCCAATGGCAGTGGCCAATGGCATAACCCCTGTCCAGAACAGACGGAGGTGGTATAAATGTCAGCATGGAATCCAGTCTTTTAATCTTGGGTTTTCTGATTCCAGTGACCACTAGCATTGATTATGGACAAGTGAATTATAGAATACTTTTGCCCTGATTTGGGTTCAGATGACATACCCGAAAATCTGAAGCTAGTCGTTGTCTGGAATCAGTTAAGCGTATCACTGAATACAGTGACCATACTAACATATTTAGGCATTTTGAAGCACTGTGGTCAAAACAGAAACTTGTATTTTCTTCTTTTTTTTTTTTTTTTTTGGGGGGGGGGGGGTAAACATCAAAATTACAGGAAGCAATTAATTAGCTTCTTTGAAACAAGCTGGATGTATATATTAAGTCATATCGAACATAATCCTGGTTAGCAAAGACTCGGGAAGGGGGGCGCAAAGAACATTTTCATGCACTCCTTTTTTTTTTACAAATAGTTTAAAGGCATAATAACTCTTTGTATGAGACCTATATTTCACAATAAAAACCTTGTGAATAACTCATAGAAATATAATATATTCTGTTTTACCACAAAAACAGCAGTTTTAGCTTTTATTCTGATATTTGAACTTGTCTTTAGACCACGTGACCTCCATTGATGTCTATACTTTGTTAAAATCTCTTAAGAGATTTTAACAAAAAACCAAACTTTTTAGAAAAAAACCAGGGACTAACTTTGAATGTAAAAATGGATTCATTAACCATTGGTAAGTATGGGAAAATTGTTGTTTACTCCAGGAAAATTCATTTTTTGGCCGAAACGAAGAGTTATTATTGCTTTAACCTTGCTGCATCTAGGCAAACAAGTGAGGATAATTAGGCTTTTTAATCGGCCTTGGGTTTAAACAGGAGTATCTATATATAATTATTTGAATCATACAAAAAAAAAAATGCTTGCCCCAGGCACCGTCCCAAAATGTCAAGTAATTACTTCTAGAATTACCCAGCTGCGCTTAATGAAGAATGTGCAATGACCCATAAAGAGCCTCCTTTTAAAGTGTTAGAACAATACAATAAGATATGATAAATTGCGCTGTAATTGAGATCTTCACCTCCCACCGGTGGCATGCAGATCGGTAGCTCCACTTCACTCACTGGCTTCAAGGTACTCGGTTGGGTTTTGACATTGGCAATACGGCAGTTGATGAACACGTGTAGACAGGCGATAAGCACACGCTGCAAATGAGACTTCAGCGGATGGATTTAGCGTCTTTAGGCGTTTCTTTCTACTTTTTATATCTCGTGGCGATCTTCTTATGCTTACCGCCCGATGACATCGCCATGGAAATCCATCCAAGGTAATGTCCATATATTTTCGGCCTTTTTGTATTGTTTCAGGTGAACAAAAGAGAAAATGAGATGTTTATTAAATCGGATTACCGCAGCGGTACTAGTGTGTATTCTGGCAGTGCCACCTGCACATCCACTCTCTGCAAGGTAATGTACCTAATAATTATACTTTGCTTCAGTATAATACTTCCTCTGTTTTCTGTTTTGCTTGTTGCAATTAAGAATATATATATATATATACAGATTTGTCTGCTGATTATCTCAATCGCAGGTGTGTATGGCTATTGATGGAAATAATTAATTAGATTCAGAGAAAAAAGCATTTGTGATTTCAGCCTAAAGACATATGAGTTGATGTTGTCTCAAGTTAGAAAACAGCCACATAAAAGTGCTTGTGTAAAAGCTGTATTTGCTAGAATTCATGTGTTCACAGATCTTTCAATTGTATTTGTAGGTGGTCTTTAAAGTTGGTATGGTTGAGATTGTTGATAAACGCTTTGTCCTTTTGAACACACTTCGTTGTCGGTTTTGTGAATCCAAATGTAATACTTTGCAGTTTAGTGGGAGGCACCATGGGATAAAATATTGAGTGTCCATTTCTTTTAAAAACAAATTTAATTCATAATATCTTAGAATATTCGATTTTGAAGCATAAAATCATTTTCATTGTGTGATTTTCTGTTGTCATATATCTGATATGACAACATTTTTTATACAAATTATGATGTTTGTTTTCTTGACAATATTCTGACCTGAATAGGTCATACATCAATGCGACCTCTTTTGATGTAACAGTAAATACAAGGCAAAATAAAAGCAAAAACAAGAAACTGAAGAAATAAAATCATTTTTCAAACAGGTAAAAAATGAAACAGTAGATAAAACATGTCTTCCTTAAACGCACTGGTATAACAGAGAAAAAAAGATCATGGAAATAAAAGATTACGAGAATAGAATCTTGGAAAAATTCAGACAACTGGCAGAAATTATTAAAACAATACACATTATAGGACCATTGAACAGTATATAATGTATATTGAAATTTCGAAGGATCTGGTGTTTTATCATTGTTTTTTATCTACGCGGTAAACCATGACAATAAATGAATGAATGAATGAATGAATGAAAACAAAGAACGTGCTATCACCGTAAACGATAATAGTCGGATGCCAATAGAAGCAATGTGGTACTCGTGCATGATGGCTGTTGACTTTCAAGGTTGGGAGTATTTAATTTCCTTTTTTTTTGTTTTCCTTTGTGAGAGACACTGTTTAAATGGTTCAAAGGATTACCACTTATGAAACTTTCGAAACAGAACACTTTTCATATAGGTATGTGTATGTCATAACAGTTTTAACAGTTATACCCCACAGACCTAGAAGTCATTGGATGTATAAACGTATAACAATGTGCGGTTGTATTTTTATCGCTAGGAACTATCATATGTGCTTGTACATTGTACACACATACTCGCAAATGATATATGACGTGAGTAATTATTTATTGGATTAAGAGAGCGTGTGTATTTATGTTTCAGTTGCCTAACAGCAAACCTGTTGTTGTGAAATGGGTTTCCAAGGTGGTAGAAATATCATCACTTATCTTATGTTAAAACACTCTATCAAACTCCCTTTTCTATGGATTGTGGGGTCTTTTGACAACACATACACTTTAGCATACAAAGCACTTTCCATAAATGTTGCATTTTGGCCACATGGAGTAATTAGGATTCTTGATTTTCCCCACGACAAATCTGGTGTTACCGCGTTAACTGACGTTGTATGGAATATGATGGAAACGCCTATAGAGCAGAAACTCTTTGTATGGTCTTGAACAAAATACACATTATTAATAATTGAAGCCAACACATAGAATCACTTAAAATCCAAAAAGATTAATACATTAATGCTATTTGAGTTTAAGAATATAGAACGGAGGAAATCACGAAACGTGCAAGATAGCTAATCAAACAGGACATTGATTGACATCTATTTTATTCCTTTTTAAAGACAAACCAATCTGCAATTTTAAATTAAACGAAATGTAACAACCCTTTGTTTGTAAAGAACTGTTGATGTCGACCTTAGCTTGCGGGAAAATATGAATCATTTGTTATATTGATCCAAAATATTTTTTTCGATTTTTTAAAACAAAACAAAAGATAAACATTGTACCGTAAACGTTCCTTTTCAAAGAACAGGTGGGATTAATTATTACTTGGGTTTTGTCAAATGTGCAGTGTACTTGGAGACAAGGCGTTATTTCATCAATATATGATCTCATTCGAGAATAATCATAAAATCTATAGTGATTACCTTTCCAAGTCACAGTGGGTATTAAGAGAATGTGCAGACAAATAAAGACTGATCACCTTCGTATTTTTCTATTAAAGTAGTGCATTATATGATTGATGATAATGGGTAACAGTTTTCAATTTTCCTTAAAGGAATTCTTCGTGTTTGAAAATCTCCCATAGTCATATCTTTATCCCTGCATGTCCTGCAATTTCCCAATTCAGATCTAAAAAGCGATAAAAACACGATCAAATAAAGTTCCTGGTGCCGATATAATCTTCTGAAATATTAGAATGACGCATATGAATTGCAGTCTACATAAATCATTATTTGTTTAAAGCTAAGTTCTTCAATTACAAATGGTATAAAAACATCTAACCCAAGTGCAAGCACGGTTCCAGCAATGATTCGCGATTTTTTTCTCGAAGAAAACTTACCCGAAAATCCCGTATCGAAGAGCTTTAATTTGACACACGTTTTTGGAAATGAAGTATATTACTAAATGCTAGAAGAAGCTTAATTGAAACCAGTGTTTATGTTCATTTGGAGAAAAAGTATTGTTCGTCTCAAAAAAAGAAGGTATGTTTTGGCAAACACAACATTATCGCAAGCCGTCGGACGTTATTTTCATTACTTACAGAGATAGAAGAAAGGCGCCGACTTTCCTCTGCAGAAGAAATAATAATTTTCCCTTGGTTGAAGCTTTGATTGTAGCTCAGTAAAAGAGAAATCAAGAAAAATATACTACAATATAAACATAAGCGTAGACGACAGCCAGACAAAACTCTGTTCCATATCCCTTGACCATTTGAAATTGGCCGTGACCTCAATTATCTTTATCTTACGAATCCAGACTCGAGTCCTGGATGTGAACGGTGCAAGACGACTCGAGTCCTGCTCACATATAAAACGCTGGTGCACACCAATACGTTCTTTACAAAAGAATAATTAATTGCACAATTCATGTATTAATAAATCCACATTTAACGCGTGATAAAAGGGCTAATCAGTTTATATGGCAGTTTTGTTGTACCTGTGGATGTAATTGACACAACCATGTGCTAGTTTGAAAGGAATAGTTCCATCAGTGTCATCGCCTGAGTGAATTACTTCATTAAAACTTCGGGAAACCTTAATTAGGCAAATGGCTATGTTATATCTCCAACAGCAAATCAGTTTTAATCCAGAGTAAATCAATAATGTTAACACAGGCACTGAAGAATATCTAACCATTTCTCCATTTTACGTGTCGAACAACAGCTTTTATTTTTCATTTGTGCTAACTTTTTACTCCAATAGCAGTTGTGGTTTCACATATTTTCTTAATTAATCTTGGTTGCACTTATTAACCTACTTCATATTATTTTTTAATCATGGCAGTTATATAGTGTGGGGGATGTATGATTATCTACCAATTTTGAAACTTTGTATCTTATTATTTTCGTTATAATTAAATGACAAATTTCAGTCACATGGACTTTATCTTATTTACTTTTGAGCAAAAACAGAGCTTCGTTGTGCTTATGAACATTTGACTACATAAATATTTTCTCTGATAGCCGGTAGATGATGCTAATGTTGGGTTGTTTGCCGAAAAAAATATTACAACAACAATTGTAAGCTATATCAGCGGTGCTGGAGAGCATAATTCAGTCCCCTGTATTCTGTGGTCGACTGCTCTAAGATATTTCAATTGAATATATATATATATATATATATATATATATATATATATATATATATATATATATATAATGCTTATATTACTGTTCAAATTCTTTGGTAACTGCTTCAGTTTAATTAGTGGCATTAAATCTTGTTATTTAACTGTACTCATCTGTAACATACTGTCACACTACATGTGCGGCACTGGTTGGTATAATAGATGCCATTCACTACTTCAATCCTTTACTGCTGAATGACACCGTATGCATCTACAAGAAAATGTACTTAGCACTTGATTGTGCGTATTCATGTAAAAGCAACTGATGGGATATCTCATAAAATGGATCTTTTTTCTACACTCACTTATTCCCACGTATATCTGAAACATTTAAAGGCAAATTTTGATGAGGCATTGATATGATTATTCTAACCGAATAAAATATTTTATAAACAACTGTCATCATGTATGTGATGGCATTTTCGAACACCGAAATCGAACTGCTGAAAACACCATTGTCCACAAACACGAATCTGTTGCTTGAACATACAGGTAAAGCTGCATGAACAGCCCTTCCATCCGTGCGTTATTTCTGTACTGATATATACTGTAGATGCCAGTCAACTTTTTCGCTAATGTTTACCGGTATATCTTGTCTCACTCGGTGCAAAGAATAGCAGCAAGGGTTCCTCTTGAACATACGGCCATTTATTTTATTCAACATACGGTGTGGTTGTTAGTACCAGCTGGGCAATGAGCGACCGATATACTACTTGTTCTCATACAGGAGCGGGCGGTAAAATTTATCTTTATGATCTCACGATGTAAACACATATAAATGTGTTTTTCTACGATCACAAATCTTACATCAATTTCCACTGTACGAGTCTTTCTCTTATAGTTATGTCGAAGATTTATTGATCCGTTACCTTTGGCATTGCCTTCAATGCTGAGTGCAAGGGTTTGCGAGCTTACTTCATCTGAACATCTGCTACCAGAATGTAAACCCACCACACTCTGACTCATTCCTCAAATAAACCAGAGCATGACGGTTCGCGTTCCTCGCGAGTTAATGTAAAGGTGGAATCTACCTTACCTGTAGCCCAATCGAGCATATCATCTAAAACGTTGACAAAAAAAAGGGGCCTTGCAAGACGCGCGATCTTATGTAAGCGGATTTTGTTTTAAAAGCCCATTAAAGATAGCTTGAGCTAAACCTCAGGTGAAAATCAGGATTGCATTCGCACTATGGCTTAGCAGGAACAGTAAATATGACATTTAGTGCCTATCAAATAGGCCCTACCACTTTTCCGCAGACATTTGGCTCGCCGTTAATGTCAAATTTGATAACAGCATTACCTACACCTTTAACGTGCTTCTTTTTTTTTCTTTTTTTTTTTACAGATCAGAATTGTTGAAGTGGCTTTTGAACTCTACCAGATATGACAGTAATCTACCGCCTAATTTTGACGATGGTGGGTATCTGTCTAACCATGCAGCTTTGATTACATCAGAACAAATAATGTCTTTATCTTAACAAATAATTCGATTAACTTATGCATAGGGTGGTATAAGACGGTCTTATTTTCTTGGCATACACTGCTAATTAGTTGGTTCAGTTTGCTTGCAGTATTTTTTTAAGTCCAATTGTAAAGACAGTGAATTAAAGGACATGAAACAGATCCTGCACTCCTTTAGATTTATACAGGTTAGAGTTAGCGTGACGTAAGTGGGTCAAAGTTTGAGACGGTCCTTACCTGTACAAATCAATGGGAACTAAGCCCTGAACGCATAAAAATACAATTTAATGTATGTGACATATGAATTTTGAATTGCCTGTGTTTTTCCTTTGTAATTCCCGCGCCAAAAACTGCATGTACTCACGGTAATGCACAGAAGTCTACACAAAGGGCTATCACACATCCAGTGCTATGTTTTTGTTAACAAATATTTACACCACGACTGTAAATCGTTTAAAGTAGTGCTTTTTGATTCAGATACCACATCTTTCATTATTTACATGTGTACGGTGGAGATAAAACAAAGTACCGGTGAAGATGTCCATATTTTATATCATTTATTCAAATTTAGAACCAACCCCCTCAACTTTTTATATTTCACAGTGATTTCTATAGAGGTAAAAAATGTCGACTTTTTTATTATTTGACCACCTTCGTACGTTCACCATCAAAACAACAGAGGACGGGTAATCAAACAAATTTTTCGTCTCATGCAAAACAAATATGAAAATTAAACACAATAAGTCATCAGATATTACACATTTTTTTTGCATTGATTTCATTTTAATATGTTGTTTATTCCATCTAATGAAATTGGCGCCGATTTTTTCTTCAGACGAGCCAGTCAAGGTGGCAGTCGAGATCTTCGTCAGTAGTTTTGATTCCATCAATGAAATCACCATGGTAAGTTAGGAGGTGAGAGGAGTTGGGCAGATGCAGGTTGTTGCCATCTTGTCCAGCAAAGGGACCCACCCAGTGGCTTCAAGACTGGTCATTGTTAGTGCATCTACATAGCGCACATTAGCCTGTGATATTCCTTATCCTACTTCAACGGGTGTTTGGGGCTTTGAAGCAATACCTCATTGTATGGGATGAATGTGAGCGATATCGTAAATTACCATACATGTCTCTTAGGAACCGAAAGTTAATTAGTGCTATTTAGTCAAAGAGCGGCATGAGGAATGTGCGTGATTGATTTCATTATGACCACGTTTCGGTTATTCTCCCCATAAGTCATGCAGCTACTTCAGTTAGATGTTAATGTCACTTTTATGTAGGCAGCATGGTAAGAAGGATAGTGGTGAAATGCGCGGTACCATACGACGGCAGTATGTCTTAATTAATCAGATACCGATAATAATAAATGAATAACAATTTTACCAATCTGCAACACCATTACGTCTAGTTGGTCAGTTGGTCCGTAGCAAAAATGAGTCTCATTTCTGTCATAATAACGACGTGACATCAGAATACAAGTTTTGTAGTATTTAATTCAGCCATGTCTTTTCGTGTCCTTTAAACATTGAGAAGGACAATGGGAATGGGATGGGGAGAGAGGGGTGAGAGAATAAGTTTGAACACAATAATCTATCAAGATGTACTTTTATTTCGCAGGATTACACAATGAGCATCTTTCTTCGGCGGCAGTGGACGGACCACCGACTGAAGTTTAATGGTCGCCTGTACAATACCTCGTCGGTGACCATAGATCCTCGCAAAGCAATGGAGACAGTGTGGATTCCTGACGTGTTCTTTAGCAACGAAAAGACGGCCAAATATCATGATGTAACACAACCCAACCATCTGCTTCGGATTGATGAAAACGGGACAGTGTTTTTTAGTTCAAGGTGAAACAAAAATATTGGCACTATTAGTAAATGATTATATTATTACCAGCACATCTCTGTCGTGTATTGGATCATTATTACATGACCTATTTGTCTGCAGATCTATTCACCTTACTAAATTTTAGTCCAATTAAAATAATTTGTCTGACTGTGTGTTTTGTATTGTTTTTCTTTCTTTTTTCTTTATTTTTAATATTTAATTATTATTATTATTTTAGCGGGGTATTCAGATTCCACCAGCACAAAGCGAGGACGTATTCATACAAATTTGTTTCCAATTCCAGAGTTACACTGACGTTAGACTGTCCCATGTACCTTAGGAAGTTTCCGCTTGACTCTCAAAACTGCTCCCTCATTTTGGAGAGCTGTAAGTAGCGGCCAAACTAAATACATTGTTTCTTAAAGAGTTTCATATTAATTGATCATCATATCTTAAGGTGGAATTATCCATAACTTTGTGCTTCGGAGATAATTTGACAAAATAGAAACCTATGTGCCTCATATATAATGCCTCTCATGTCTACTGCGTTTTTTGCAGTTGCTTACACCAAAGACCGAATACAATTTGACTGGGCCGCCAGCCAGATTGATAAAGACGAGGAACTGAAACTGCCGCAGTTCTTTCTACTGGACACCAATTTTGACACTTGTACCAAAACATACAAGGCAGGTACGGGAATTATGATAAAATCAGAATTGCACCTTTATTGTAAAGTGTTATGTTTTACAAACCGCACTCACTATACAAATACCCGTCACTACAATAGGACATTTGTTTAAAAACATATCAGTAAACCCATTCCTAAAAACATGATGAAATTGCCAAGACTTATTGTATTCTGTTTAAACGTATCCATTTTATCTAGACACGTGTGTGACTGTTGTACAAGAAGATAATTTATAATCAAATGACGGTTTCTTCAAAAAATGTATTTTTTGATCATCTATTCATTCGTTTAATATTACTCAACATTGTCTTTACGCAGGGATATTTTCGTGTCTGCGAGTCGATTTCTCTCTGAAGCGAGACATCAACTTTTACATCATTCAAACGTACCTTCCCAGTGTGCTTATCGTCACGCTGTCCTGGGTCTCATTCTGGATCAGCTACGAGTCCGTGCCCGCTAGAATCTCCCTTGGTCTCCTTACGGTGCTCACTCTTACTACACAGACCTACAGGTTTGTGATAAATATTTATCTTATAACTAGATCTCCTTAACAAGTTAAGGCAGATAAGTTCTATTGGATGCATATAACAGTTAGTATTACAGTTATCCTCCTCTAACACAACAAATACCAACCAACAATTAGGTATCTATTCTCCTGATATGCCGCCCTTTACTACATATTGCGTCAGTTAAGTTTTTTATTGTAATCGATATGTGACGGTGTTTTATTATTCAAGGTTCACTGTAAAACATATATCAATGTCTGATGTGGTGCTTTCGTTTGTTAAGTGCTCATCAATCATTTGAGTACAATGCATAGCACTTAATAATTTAAAATGTTTTTAAAAATAAAATCCTTTTTGTAACCTTTTAGTATCCGGGCAACATTACCAAGGGTGTCATACGTTAAGTCAATTGATGTGTGGATGGCAGTATGTCTCGTTTTCGTATTCCTGGCTCTGCTGGAATTTGCCATTGTCAATATCAACACGAGGCGACAACATCGGTACACAATAAGGAGACAGGTGCGTAGCTGGTAACACTTAAAGATGTTGAAATAGCTGACCAAAATCCGAAGACAAAGTTTTCGACCTACTAGCATCCCATTCTCTATATATCTAACATGTTGAACAAAATAGAGACATCTCCAAGAAAATGTCTAATTTTTCTATAACAATGGTTCAGCCCATAAATTATTATATATAGTAATTCTCTCTCTTTTTTCGCGTTATGCCAAGCTTTGATCATCTGCCATCAACCATACAGTGAATATCAATTATTAATGCAAAGTTCACACCTTAAAAACAGTTTGTCTTAGCGGTGTATATATTAAAGTTAGCAACTTTCAGATGTTCATACGGGTACAAATATGTATATGCAAATTGCACTGGTTGTACTGTAACGTTCTCACGAGACATTGCTTTATTATCAGTGAAACTTAGCGTATGGTTATTACTCACAGCAATATACATATACATGTAGTTCCTAAGATCCGAATTCTAGGGTAAAATATTAATCAATACATGCTTTTTGTAATTCCAGTCACCTACCAATAAAGAGAAAGAGACACATAATAACGGAACCATGTCAGAAGACGGTGTCGAGCCTAAGCTTATTTTGAAACTTAAGGCAGCCAAGATTGACAGAATTTCGAGAATCTTATTTCCAGTTGGATTTGTCGTTTTTAACATCATCTACTGGATGGTGTACATTCTTATTGACGACTAGAACTAATTGTTTACATGTCTTTGAAGACTGATTATCTTAGAGCACATTCATAACAGCGGACTAACAGATCCACGGATCAAAGATAAAAGAATTAAGCTTGTCGCTTAATTCCCGATTACATACTGAATAGATTCCCTGCGGGGATTACGCAACAAGCATTAAAGTGGGTCGGCCATGTTTGATCCGCGGATCTGTTAGTCCGCTGTTCAGAATGCGCTCTTAGACCTGCATCGAATATGTTTCGTATTATAAGATTAAACTCAAAAGAACTAGTGACTTAAATATTCCAAACGTGCTGTCCACGTGAACCGAATTTATATGGCATATATATATGTGTGTGTGTGTGTGTGTGTGTGTGTGTGTGTGTGTGTGTAAGAGAGAGAGAGATGCAAAAGTCACATAAATATATACATACCTTTCAAACAAAATCAATGTCATTTTTTGAAGAGCTGATGTATTACCTCATTCTATATACTCTTTATGAAGAGGCCAGTTTGGTGATGGCGTCATGGTGATGCACAAATATCCGTCCCCTTTGTGTTGTACAGGTATTCGAGCCACTTGGACGAACAACCTCATCTGCAACCTTGGTTTGAGTGTTTGAACGTGTTCAAATAATTTACGGCGGCTATTGTTTTAATGGCGAAGCCAAAAAAAAAAGATTCTGTCTGCAGTCTTCGAAGGACTTGGGCAACCATGTGGCCTCCTTTGAGCCTTCAACGGCGACCTTTTCAGTTTCACGGTCGTGCAGTGGAGGTTCAAAGGTCGCCACTTTGTGAATATAATGTCAACCACCAAAACCCAACGGCTGGAGGCCAATGCAAGTAAGCGTCGCCATTGCTGGTTAAAATGTTTTTTTTTTCGTCTCATAAGAGATAAACGTTTCTTATTGTAGGGAAAGGGAAACTCTCTTCCTTTTCAAATTAAAAAGATTGACCTCTTCACCGTGTTACAATGTGAACAAATGCCAGTACATTGAGGCCAATGCATTTGTTTTGTTTTCTGTCGTTTTTAAAAGATTCTGCGCATTTTCTGAAAACAGCGAAATTCCAATCTGCTATTTTCCATAGAGCAACAATATATTAATCAAGCGCGAAGTAAGAATGACATCAAATATCAAACCTCAAGTGCGAATGATTTTCGTCTGTTTTGCTTATGAATAAGGGCTCGAATTTTGTCAAGGCTACACAGCATAAATGTAGTTACAAAATCTTCCACTCATCTTTCCTGTTATATTTATAAAAGGACAAACACACAACATTTTTATAGAATTCAGCGTGCCGTTACTTTTTGTGGGCAACTAAGAAGAACAGTGCTGGCGGATTTTCTGTTCGTTTCACAACAAAAGCCTTGTGGACAAATTAAACCTGTAACTGCACCTGAATTAACATGTACAGGATGATATGGTTTTTCAAAGAGAAAATGCAGTTAATATTTTAGCAATTAGTCGGAACCAAGTAAGGAACACGCAAATGTGTTTTCATCATTAGAGAGCATATCGGTATAATTGGTGTGCGGCGCATTTGTTTCATTTACGTCATTTCTGGATCATGCCGTTCTTTATATATAATGACTGTATTAGTAGCCGCTCGAAAGGCACATTTTTGATCAACAGAATTTAAATTCAAGATGATAGTTATTCAGTGCCGTTGTTTTTATTACTGTCGCTGGTATTGAATGATGACCTTTCCTTTTTCATTTCCTCGTCATTAGATATCCGATGATGAATAGAGCCACTATATTATACAAGTGATTCAGTAAGTAGAACTCACTTCTCTACCTGGCCAAAGTCGATAAAAGACTTGACCAATATTGCTTCAAATATATACTTTTGGATCTTTTTATGTATCATGTTTACCTGCACCGGTACCAGTAGTACACAGTCACACTGTTGTCCTTTCTTTTGCAATCAACGCCCTAAAAGGCAGGTAAAAGATATAAAAAAATAGCAGAGCAACTTGTGCATCGTCTACAGTGAACGTCTACACTAGGGCATGCATACTCCAAATGAAAAAAACTGATGAAGCCAACATATCCACCCGACACCTGTGGTGCGTATATGCAGCTAGGGACATGCTCAGACAACTGAAAGGGACGCATGTGTGAGCATTTATTATCTCGAGTAGACTCGTGAATGCAACGAAACGAGGTAGAAGTTCTTGTTCGTTTGTGCATATACTTAACGTCTAAGATGGGCAAATTAAATCATTCCGTGCAGTCGTATATAATATAGTGCCATGCTTTCACAAAGAGCAAACGCAGTGCACATTTTAGCAGTTGGTTGGATGCATCATTAACAAGCTCATCAGAATATTGACGTTTCATTTACGTCAGTTCTTGATCACACCGGTTCTAATCATGAATGTAAACTAAAAAAACAGAAAAACAGAAGAACTAAAAAACAAAATTATTGCCTAGTTATTTTGTAATGTTTTAACATCATATTATCAGCAAAGCTTTATATTTGACACCTTCCAAAAGGGTGTATTAGTTTAAACAAGAGCATTAATCGCTAATTCATAAGTGTGGCATGTAGTTTTTGCAAGGGATATCTCCAAAACTGGTTCTTTCAAACATGAAGTATTTGCCAGTGACTGCAAGCAACGATGCTGGAAGACTTCCAGTGGTATGACCACAGCAAACATTTAATGAAGCCAATGTATCCACCTGTGGTGGGTTTATCTGTAGCTAAGGGCGTGCTCATTAAGAAACTTATAGTGACGCACGTGTGCGCATTTACTGCATTGGAAATAACGTCCGTGACTATATAAAGGCAACATTTCACAATAATACCACAAAGAAGTTTGAGTTAGTTTGGGAACAATACTTGCCGGCTTAGACGTACACAGACGTTCAGTAAAGAGACTTGCGACGCGCAACAAATAATGTCATGGACCCGTTGACAGTTGTTGTAACCTTTGCTATGCTGGTATCCAAAACATTATTCCATCCACATCCTCCGCTCTTGATCCCTCCCAACGAGTGGACATGTGGAGTCGATGGGGACCTTTTATTGAAGGTCACCTGCAGTTGCCACTGGACTTGTCAACTTGAACCGTACTATGACTGTTGTGATGATTTCGAAAAACGATGTGGTAAGCGCCTAGAAAACAGTCCACCAATCGATAAGACACAGGCCGAAAAATATAAGATGAAGGCAAATGATACGAAGTGTATGACGGTCCCCTCCGATTATGGACCATTACTGACGATGGAGGCGGCAGGAAGAGATTGGCGACAAAAAAATCTTTTCATCACCTCATGCCCCGACCACGCGCATATATTTCGGTCACAGTGTGCCAAAGACCCTGTCCCCTCAATTCCATGGTCCTTTCTACCAGTTTCTGATCCGGACACCGGCGTGTCGTACCCTAATATCTACTGCGCAGTCTGTAACGGGCTTTCTCCCCAACAAGTTCTAAAATGGAACCCTATAATAACCTGCGACTTTGGACGTAGATCGTATGTGCTAAGACCTGAAATTGAAGAACCAAGTCGACTAAACCCAATAACTATATTACAAGACCTAGATGCACGCCACTGTCGCTTGCGATTTAGAGAAGAGACGTCGCCTACGATTCGACATTGTTGGGAAAAGGAGGATTATACAGAGCCCTGCACTGAGAACGAGAGCGACAGCTTCTGTGATCCATTTGACATGGAGCCTGATCATGTCTCCAAGAAAAAATATCAACCTAACCCTGTAGAATTAATCCAAGTGGACCCAATCCCGCGCAGACGAATATTTCGCGATCTCCAGTGTCTCAGTTGCGGGAATGACGTCAACCTAAAACGTCATTTAACAACCAGTAACGTGTGCCCAGTTGGTGAGTTGAATTGTTCTTAGTTAATTGGAATAAATATATATTTATTAACAGATTAATCAATTCATTTTCCCATTCAGTTATATAATTCCGCTTGTTCCTTTACTTTTTTGTCCACTGTGCATGTTGCATAACTTAGCAACTGTACGAAAACCCAGGAATACATGTTTACTGTAACAGCTGAGCTTTCACCAAAACGAAACTTGCAAATACGCACGTCTGCGTCTTATGGCATACAAAAGTTACATATCGACATTTAAAACATTTCTCGGCATGGGTACAAACAATAACTATCAATGTCGCTTGTGACGTAGGCTTCTTCTCTAATATTTCAGAGGATGTGTTAACGCCAGTGGAGGACGCGGGTGTCATGAGTACTTTCACAGTAAACCTGGACTGGAACAAAATAGTACCACACAACGGGTTTTGGCCAATAGATCTGCATAGCTGTGATGATAATCAAATGCCCAATGGTCAGGTAAGCTTCCAATCATAATTTCGTTTATGTTGTGTGTTATCACAATTGCAATTCTAATTGCTGTTACTCTTGCGGGTGCCTCCACACAAGGTAACTTACCGGTGAAAAGAAAAAAGACTCTGTTATCAATTTATTCATTATTATTTGCCGAATTATGGCACTGTCTGGATATATCTGTTTCTCTAAAGGCAACTTCACTTTCTATTTCACGGTTTCAATTAAGACCAAGCATATCGTATAAGTTGCATGAGTAAAATGTTTCTTCCGTATACAGTATGCATATCATCTTTGCTACAGGGAGGATGCCTCGACCTTGACTGTTTCCCTGGTAACGCTGCGTGGAATCATTCCTGTCAGAGTGTGATGCAAAATATTTCACCTTATGTGTTCGCAAAACACATGAAAATACGCTCTAACAAAAATATACCTATTGGTAATTCGGAAGTGGTATCGTTTTTTCGTGATGCACTTTTAACGGCAGGACTAGATGGCAGAAGTTACTATTTTCCCGCGCAGATGAAAGTGGCACATGAGCCAGAGAATAATGTTATTGAATTATTATATCAGTATCGTGGGCTGGTTGAAGATTTCGAAACGGCATATCCACTAGAGACAGATGTTTGGAATGTGACGTACCATGCACTGTTGAGGTATTGTCCGAAATGCGAGGAGTACTTAACGATGCATCCGCTGATGTCATGGACGGATTACGCAATGAATCGGGGCAAGCCGTATTGTAATGTGGTAATTGTTCCAACATCCGAAATTATAAGTCAAAGCAACAACGCCATTTATTTAAAAAACAAAGTAGGGGTAATACAAAAAGAGCATTTCTCCATTGATGAGGCTAAAGGAAATCTGCGCGTCTGTCTTAAAGCATATACTAATTTAAAGACAGTTCATGTCACAAGCTTGATGGATGATACACTAGATTTAGGTTATGTATTCCTTAGTTTGAATCTTGTGTCTATGGCATGGATTTTCCTGGTGTTTATGCGTTACCTTATTTCCCCAAATCTTTGCACTGTGGTTGATGAATACAACAAACACCATGTTGCAAACGTTTTTCTTCTACACCTCCTTATCCTCCTCGATGTTGTTGCAGGAAACCATCAGATGGCGCCACTCTGTAAAGCCATAGGCATCTTATCCCACTACTTCCAGCTGGTCGCCTTTACGTGGTCGCTTGTGTCAATCCGCAGTTTTTTCTATATTTTTGAAATACACAACGAAGATGCATTGGTCATTAAAGACGGGACCTCAAGCTTTTTCGTTAATGCTGCCTTGGCTTACGTTTCCCCCCTCATTCCTATCCTGTTCTCCACGGTCCTACATTTTTGCCAATGTTCTGCCATTGATATTGTATATGGCAGCAATACAACATGTCGTTTAACAGGCTCTACTGCCGTGCTTTATCTCATGGTTTTGCCGATGGGTCTACTCATGTTGCTTATCCTTGCTCTATCCGTTGGCGCGCTTTTTGTTTTGCAAAGCACAACCCACTCGCGAATATCAATCGCGTTTTCCTCTGGCAGTTGTCACCTTTTGGCAATGTGCTTGACGGTCAGTTTACTGATGTGTTTTTCTTTTTGCTTTGAATACTTTGCCATGTTGGAGGACTCTGGTGCCCTGTGGATAGCATCGTTCGCGTTCAGCTTACTGCAAGGAGCATGTATTATGGGCTTTAGTGTTAGTAGTCCGCGGTTTCGTGGAGCGCCTTGCGGCATGTGTCCTGTAAAGAAACGTCGTGGTGACGTAACATTCAAGCAGACCCGTAGGCAGGTAAGGTTTCAGAGGTTCGAACGAACCGCGCTTTTGACCGAGCAAAGGTCCGCTCTGAGGCAAAACGTGATCTAAATTTGACCCCAATGATTGATGTTGCTCAAAAGGACGAGTTAAACATCATCCTATTGTTTTATTAATATAAATGTTTGTTGTGTCATGCTTATTTGTTTCATTTATGAAAGCAAAATTCTACGAATATTAGATTATCAAATTCCAAGGAGAAAAAACTTTTTCTCATGTTTTTCAACTCCGATGAATTATTGTGGATCAGGAAGCATTCTCTCTGTCTCCCCTTATAGCTTGTTGTGCAAATATAATTGCCTACAACATCCTCTGTCCTTTTAAAACGAACATACATGTACATGTAGTTCTGATCGAGTTTCATTGAATGTAATGTAAGACAGTTGTTTACCTTGAAAAAAACTAAAATACTTTGTACAGTGTAATGAATTTAATTTTATATAGCTATGTCGCACGGATTGGCGGTTCAGATATGTTGATCAAAATGCACGTTTCAACAAATATGCATTGTGTGTCTTTTTTCAAAGCGCTATTACATGTTGTGCAATTGGCTAAGTATGTTAGTGAATTCTTTTTTATTAAAAAAAAACGTTAACACTTTTTGAAATAGGGTCTGTCTGAAAATTGTTAGTCTAGAAAACATTTGTCTAGGGACGGTTAGTGAAACATCATAATATAATCTTGGAAATAGCTATCCATATACTGCAGTAGTCTTGATACGATGATTACATTGCTAAGACGCTGCTCTATGCTATGTCCAGTTGTCTTCTTATGTCGTGCTTCGGTTCGCGGCAATTCAATTTCTTTCTAGGCATGTTCCAATATTTTCTCAATTAGTTGTTTGTCCATTAATACAGAAGATTTTTGACATGGCAATATAATGAACGCTTCTATAATTATGTCAATAAAAATTATTCAATTCGATATACGTTGTGTAGTTGTGATTCGCTTCTGTACACAAGTATCAGAAAGAGAATTCATGGTATAACATTAAAGCTGCTGCGATTTTCATCGGGGCCGTGCAACCGTTGCATTTGGTCAGCTGAAATGACATATTCGCCCATCTTTGACAATAGTCCATGGGACAACAGATAAGCAGTGTGAGGCCTTATTTAGGCCCGTTCACTCCATGCTATCTTGGCAAATACTGCCTGATTAAAGCAAACACAGCAATATTTGACTTCCTAATTTATTAGAGTACATAAAAGAATTAAATGAGCATGTAACTGGGTTTCGTGACCAGCACTGATATCCAATTATTCTTATATACAATACAATTTTAATCTAAATCATAAAAAAAACAATTAAATATATTGGAGGTAGATTAAGTGAATGCTGTGTTTTATAAGCATTAAAGGCATATGAAGATAATAGGACAAGGTTACAGTCCGTTAAATAATCAAGGTAATTAACACATCATTATTCTTATATATTCAATTAGTATACAATGTGTTCGCGCCATATCACTTATCGCAAAAATCTTTCAGACACAACAAAAATATTCACATGTTATCAACAATATCTTACAGAATCTACAATGCATCTTATTTCAGTTTAAAAACGGCATCGAACAATGACTGGGCATATAGGCATATAACGCAACAGAATTTCTCACAATTAAGAAAAAACAAGGACCGATCTAGGCTATCTCAACCTCTCCGTCACTCGTTTTAATGAGCATATACAGTATTTAACAATTACAGTCTAGGAGCCCATGTAGACCTTTTAAAATGTCCTGAATTAATAGCCTATGTTGTAACGCGGTCAGTCTTGAATGAGTGGTCATACTAGTTATTTACTCTAAAAGGGTTGAATGATTCTACAATATGAAGAATCCAAAATCTACATGTCGGTCCTTGCCATATTGACGTGCACAGAAGATGGGTTGGCGTCGTCAGAGTCATTACCGCTTAGGTTACGACTACTTCTTCCAGATTCTGGATCTTCTGTGACATGACTAAGTGGTTCACGACCTCGACCACGTTTATTTCGAAGAAAACTCTTTCGAAGATTATTTCTTTCGCGATTTATATCTTGTGGTGACAAGTCCCACTGCTGGTTGATTTCATTGAGCCGTTCTTGGTTGAATAACTTTTCTCGCCTCTGGCGCCATGATTTGAGCGCGCGCACTGAGCGTTTTCGAGACATGCCAGATGTGATGCCGACTGTGTTATAAACATCATCGTATATTTCATCGTTTTCGTTCAGTTCTTGTCCAAGAGCAGCAAATTTCTTGTCGAACACTTCCCGAATCGTTGTTGTCCTCTTCACCTTTTTTCCTCTCTGATCGAATCCTCTGAAAGTACGGGTTCTCTTCATGGCCATTGCATCTGTGTCTAGGTTCACTATACTACCAGATGATCCCAAACTCAGAGTGGCGTCTTTAGGTTTATCTCTGATTAAAGATCTCACTGCTTCCAGCGCGTCTTGCACGTGATCCGTGGCCAACATTTTGGTGGTGGCGATGATGTGCCAGAACGTTGCCAGGCGATGAAACACCATTGCAATCAACTGAATCAGCAAAACCACGCCGAAGAAAAGGAGAAAAACAGTTCCAATTGGTTCCAGTCGCAGGGTATCTGATCCTACATATCCTGGACACTTTAATGGCCATGGTAACGTGACTCCTTGCGTGGCTTCCTTCGCTAGTTGCAAGGTAAAAACAACGACCACGAACAGAGCATTCACAATGAAAATTCCAAGGGTGACTTTATTTCTCAGCTCTTTAAGGTCTTTCGCAACTTGTTCTTGGTGTGCCTTGTCGCTTTCTAGGGGATAAAGATATTTCTTGATAAGATCTTTCCAGAAAACAACTTCGTTCTGTTTTAAGTGGACGATCTTGTTGTTGCCAAGGTCTTTATTCTCGGCCCAATACGGGTTGAACATGTCATCTCTTTGCACGTGGTCATACGGAGCCTCGTTATCTGTGAGGGGAAGATAATAGGAAAAGACTCAGTCAAATAAAACATGAATACATCTGGGGGTTTGTCAAGAACAAACCCATTTTCCTCCATATGAAATCTTTATTATTTGTCATGTTATTAAGATAATTAAACAACCCACAGCGACCGTCAACGCTGGTCTAACGCTTAAATTTGTTTCAAACAAAATATAAGTTATTCCGCGTGGCTTAATTTCCAAGATGATTTAGTATTTGAAAGTGACGTGATTTCAACAGTATTCATTTGTGTAGGAGCAGTAGTACAATTATAAGCAAAGGACATACCGGAAGGACTTGCCGGAGACAATATGTTAGAAGGTTGATCCTCTAAAACTTCGTCTTCGGGAACAGCAGAAAGTCTTGCTGAAGAATTACTGCCCACTCTTGTTCGACCATGTGAATGTGAATCTGTGTAATAAGCATTGGTCTTACAATTATATAACCAACTGGAGACTCAATCACCCAATATATATTTCAAAATTATACAAGTAGGTCAAATAAGCAGTAAATAAACCAATGTAAATTATGATTGCCTTTCAAGTATATCTTATTTGGATAATTTTATCTTTGTATTCGCGATTGGACAAACTTCGTTATTGATATAAATGAGAGAAAGAAAGAGAGAAGGGAGGAGGAAATATAACCCACCAGCTTCTTCGTCTCCAATTATTTTCCTCTCGAGATTGTCCAATTTGTCCAAAATGGCTGCCAGTCGTTCCCTTTCCAAGTCTGGCTTTGGTTTAGGACACCACACACATCGCAGTAGGTTGAATATGGAACATGTGGACCCGCCGATGTTCTGATTGGTCTTGCCCAGACCTAGTAATTCTGCTAGTGGGCCTTCCCTCTTTTTCTTCTCTTCTTCAAGTTTTTTCTCCGCCGCTATCTGTTCGGGTGTCTTGGCTGCCGTAACCTCACGTGTTCCCCACGATACCACGTGAAGATTACACATGGAGTAAATAAACAGAAGCAGATACGTGCAAGGAATGGCTAAAAAGTACAGGAACCCATTCAGTATATTGGTGAACTCTTGTGGATGAAGAATAGCGGCCAGCACGAAACTCCCCGCGACGAAAAAGAGAAATATGGCGCTCGGAGAACAAGGGCCTTCCGTGGCTATCTGGATGCTAATGGCGACCAGCACTAAGGCCATGACTAGAGCATAGATTGCCGACAGGATGAATGCCACGATAAGCTGAATACAAAAAAAATAACAATAAGAAAACAATATCCAAAACACTGAGTAAAATTGCTAAGTCAACAAATGAGAGTTTTGCATTTATTATTCATTAAATAAGAATTAGCATAAATCAACATTAATCGTACAAACCTGAACCTTGCTCTTGGTCACATAGCACAAAATTATGAAGATCAGCACTGGAACCAAGTTACAGAAGAACGCTGTCCAGAGGTCCATGTACTGCGCAAACGCTGTTTGAAGCGCCCCAACGACCATCAAAAATATGGTACCCGGTCCAAGAGCAGACGACATCAACAGTGCAGCTTGGTAGAAAATGTACAACATGGAGATATCCTCGTTGTTTTTCACAGTGCGCTTGAAACTCATTACCAAGTCGAGAATGTTTGCCATAGTTGACGGTGTCCACCGCCTTCGTTGGTTAAAGAACTCGTCGAAGCCCTCCGGAGCGTAGGTCAGAGCGTCTGAGGCGGCGCTGTACTCCACACGATAGCCTTGCTGGAGAAGAAGTGTGCATAGCCATCTGTCTTCACCTGAAATAGAGAAAAGAACAGAGATAAAAACATAAATCTGGAAATGTAAAATATGCAATTCATCGTGTAACAAGAAAAATGTTGTACCTTGTTGTTAAAGATATTGTTAAGCGATAAGTTTTAAATCAGCTACATAAACAAAATAGTAGAAAAACCATTCAAATAGTTGTTTAATTTTCTCACTGCATTTTTTTTTAGCTGGGTAAAATAATTTTTCGTTTGTTTGTAATCTAAAGTGGATGATCAGTGGCGGCATATAAATTTTAACAAAGAGAATAAGTAACATCATTTGTACCTTGATCATATTGAAGATAGTGCATAGCTTCCTGTGGTTTCTCTGCATATTTCGCCATCACGTTGTTGTCCATGAGAGCAGACCCGCGAAACAAACTGAAACATCCGGGACTGCAAAGCACACATCCAATTATATGTTCTGTTGCTTTTTGGAACCAATGAGAGACAGCATATTCAAATTTCTGGTACCATACGACGGGCCCTAATATGAAACGAAACATTTTTTTCATAAGTATCTATGATAATTCTGAAAAGTTTAATTACGGTTAATTATATGCATATTAGTATTTTAATGTATTATTCATATTACTTGGCAAATTAATCATCATCTAAACATGGTTACCTGAAACCAATTAATATTCACTTTTTCTTATCATCAATCAAAAGTGGTATTAACAAGATTAACTGTTTGTTGGCCTTGGCACGCTTGTCAGCTTCTGTTCAATATGACAATCACATGTCACAACTAACACATTACATTTGAGGTCATGTATTTTCAACTAACCTGAACCGATAGGGTGTATCCTACCACAGGCAGCGCCGACTTTACTGTTCCTTTTCATCAAATCGACGAGAATTTTTACAGCAGACGGTTGGAAGTCTACATCGCCGTCTAGGGCCAAGACAAATGTGTTGTCCGCCGTGTTGATCAAACTGCGCCTGTCCTCTGTGTTCTGGTATAACCGGTGTCCCAAGAAGTAATACATGTACATCACCTGAAAGTGACACAAACACCACATCATTTCCAGGAGATATTTCAGTGTCAGCTCTTTACTTCAAAACCAAATAACCACGATACGTCAGAGAAAAATACCATCAGTTGCGTTATGTTATAAGAATAAAGTAATTTTTCTTCAGTCAACCAATGCTGTTGGTAATATTAGATGTAAATATTATCTGTTGATTGAAGAACAATTATTTTCTTCTTAACCACACTGTGTGTTTTTGTGTGATCTTCCGTAATATTTGATCCTTTTGGGTCTTTTTATTTACTCAAAATAGAGGTTAAAGGTGAAAGGAGTGCAAAAGGTAGGCAAATAATAAAGGTAATTCTCTTCGCCCTTTTACTCGTACCCCAAAGCACATTTCATGATATTTTCTTCTACAATTTAACATCAACAGTCCCTCCCACACCGCCCTGCTTGGGCTAGACTTAATCAGTCCCTTTTGAATACCTGACTCCATCTTTTCCTGTGTCTGATCTTGACCTTGTCCTTGAGGTGGGCCACCAGTTTGTTCTCACCGGGTAATGTCCACTCAAGCTGACCTCCGTACGGTGTAGGGCGCTTAACTGGGGGGTCAATTTGAATCTTCTCCTTATAGACAGCCCTAGAATGTACCATTACCAGGGACGCTTAATCAAGTGTTCTTTTCAGTGATGTGTGTGTGTGTGTGTGTGTGTGTGTGTGTGTAAAAAAGGGACAGCAGTATTTTTCATTTATCAAACCTTTTAAGTATAGTATATTTAGGTCATACAACTCATAATTTTTCAAGCTGCGATACATGCGTGGGAAAAAGTGCCATTAAAATGCATGTCTTTTATCCAAAAGCATTTTCAGAGCAATAAAACAGTTACCATTTAAACTGATATACTATAATGGAAGTAGGCCTACAAATCTACAAAACAATAAAATGTAACATAGTACATTTCAAATTCCAAGAAGTTTGCAAGACAAAACTTACATCGCCGCCGTGTCCATTACTTTAACCAGGAGTTTCACAAAGCTGTTCACATTATAGTTAGTGCTACCTTCCTCGTGAGCTTCAAACGCATCATCGAAAAATATATGACCTGAAAGATACCCTTTCGCTGTTATAAATATGTTCACATATGAGAAGTACATTAAATCGGGACATTTATCTCCCCTCCTTCGCTTTGTTGGCCATTTTATATACACACCTAGACATGGTATTAAATGTGACCGTGGCAATGTACGCTTTATTCAGTTTGATGGGTGTTTTTCGGTAAATGCGACTATTCTCCCTATGTATGTCAAATAATACAATATCAGCCTCTCGCACTATGTACCTTGAACATTTTTCGCTGACGCTCCAGGTGTTCTGGCATACACCAGGGGGCGGATCAGGAGATATTTTCTGACAGTCTTCCAAATGTTCTTTGTTAATCCATCCTCCAATTTTTGACCATTTTCCGACAGAAAAAATTAGATGCCCATCAATGTAACCTTTAAATTTTGACCGTCTTCAGGAAGACCCAGATGAGGACTTCCGTCCGCCCCTATACACTGTATGTGACGTTGTATTATTTCACACATGCGACCTTAAACACACTCGAAAAACCCTAGGATTATTCCCAGCAAGGTTAAAGGCAGATGAAAAACAGGGACTCCCTTTTGTTCAGTGCAAACTCACCTTCCATTTCATAGTAGTCCTGGTCCTTGACCCCTTCTCCCAGGAGGTCATGGTCTCTGGCCAGTTTTCTGGTGCCTTGGTCTGCGTCCAGCCTAAGAGAAACGAGACCAAGCATGTGTAAACCAGGGATAAACTATGTGCATTCGCTCTTTGGGTTACCAAATCAGTTAAAACGATTAACACATTTCAATCAAGGAAAACGAGGATTGCCGCTTTCCATTTGCGAAATTCATAACGTTATTATTGTTATCATTATTATTATGAAAAGATAATTGTTACTGTCAGTACGAATTACACATGAACATTGCTTTGAAAGTAACGCCATCTGGTGAAACTCACCTTAACAGTGACTTCAGAAACTGTATCATCTCGTTCTCAGTCTCGTGCCACATGGTGGCGCAAACGTATATCATTGGCGGTTTTTCTTCGGGTGGTACATCCGGGGAACCGGCCTCGTGCTTGATACTCATGAAAGCGGGTTTCTGTAAACCACGACATAAACGTGTTAGGAAAAAATACCTTTTCAGGAAAGAAAAAAACTTTTTATCTTAAAGCAATGTTAAAAAATGGCAGTTTATACGAAGGCAGGATTCGGACTTTGGAGGTAGTTAGTATCTAAATGTGGTACAAAAATTCGATTTAAATAGTGTGTTTCCTAAAGGAAAAATCTTTTAAATAAAAATCTTTTTTCAATGAAAAGATTCTTCGTTTTTCTGTGATCCGATTCAGCAAGTGAGGTTATACTGCGGTGTCCACTTGGATTAGCATAAACTCGCCTTCTTTCGTTTCGCAGTTTCTTCATCGTTCCGTCTTCTATTTAGTCCTAGCGACTGGTCAAGAAGGATGCCACAGTAGTGCAGCCGCACAAACAGTCTAAAACAAAGAACTTAAGGTTTCACGCCGAGAAAACGGTAAACTATATCTGTTAATTATATATTCTTGGCAAAAGACTTTTATTGATGAATCAAAAATAAAAATTCAGATACCAGTTTACAACAAGATTTTACAATAAAATCTATAAACGCAACTCTGTTCGGGGATGGTTGAACCCATTACACCCATTAAACAATGGTTTGATGAAACATGTTTTTGAACTTGAAAAAAGTTTGTCGTGCACTAAGTCGTAATACTAGAGGTGTTTTTTATCATGAGTCCAAATTCATATCAACATGTATAAATGGCACACTACACAACGTAGTTGTTCTTAGATAAAAAAACGACACATTGCATTCCTTAGCAAAAAGTGTCTCTTTCTATGAAGCACACAATTTACAAAAATCATTACTATTATTTCTCTAATTATTGGTATCAGGTGTGCCCCTTTTTCAAGACAAAGGAAAGAATGTTTCAGCTTAATTAATGTCTAAATCAGTACAAGTTGAATGTGTCTGTGTCCGGTATTGGTCACAGGTTCGTGCTGACGTTTATTAGTATCTAAGGTGGTTTTCGCGGTCGTGCTCACCTTCATACAATTTACAACCCACACTTCCCTCAAGGGAAATTATGGCAAATATTTTGAGAAAAATTATTTTCTCTATCGGTTTAGCTCCGCTTAACACCATTTTCTCAGTTGGAGAATTTATTTAAGTATACAAATCTAGCCACATCCTAATGTCAATCTTTTTTCAGTATTAATCATTGGGTGGTTTTTTTCTCAGCATGCAATAATACATGTACTATGTACGAGAGCCAGTATTTCAATAAAAAAGGTAACATTTTGAAGAAAAATTAAAAAGTCAAAGCTGTTAAAAGGCATTTAGAGAAGAAGTGTAAAAAGTATAAAATCACGAACAAAAGCCGTTTTAGTGGAGTGTTTCGCTCTGATATTTCCTATATGATGTGTTCGTTTGTGGACTTTTTCTTACCCCCACAGGCGTCACAAAGTATTCTTAAATTTAGATACAATAACTTACTGCAGCAAACGGGATTTTTTAATCTATTTTCTGATCTTTCCGACTCCAAATTGGGCTAAACGGTTATATTTACCTAAGCGGAAGAGCCATAATATTACGTCTCATGCAATGTATTTTTACCAACATAGACAGTAAAGACACCTTGAACCCACACAGCGATAAGAGGTCGGAGACCCTTGTCGCCTTTTGCGCCTCCGCAATTCAGACTGTCTGGGCGACTTGGCTGTATATTTCTGTATATTTCTGTCTATTTTTTGTTTGTTTGCTTTTATTTTATAATTTTTTTGTGGGGGGGGGGAGGGGCATTGATTTTGTATTTTATTGGAAATTCCTTCGGTCTAAGTCTCTCTCTCTCAAACAAACACACACACACACACACACACACACACACACACACAATTCTGTATTGTACAAAGTACATGTCCCAGTATGAAGCACCTTAACATACAGAGTGCGCATAACAATGTCCCTAGTGCTGTTACTTAGGCGGAAGCAGAAAGATAGTAAATATTCACATTAAATACGCATTACGGTTCAAAGCCAAATAAATCAGTCACTGTCTACTATGAGTTTAAGGAAAAGACCTAACCTCCATGACATGCCTGGGTAATTAAACCTAGATGACCTGACATTTTCGTATAACAGTATAACGGCTATAGTATAAACATAATGTAGATAAGTTAGCATTAAGGTAAAAAGACACGGCATTGATTTCATTTTTAAATACTAATGTCTAGCAATTTTTGAAAAAATAATCAGTCATATTTTCTGTTAGTCTGCTTACTCCACTGTTTTCTGGTGGATGGGGAAATAAGTAAAAGGGAATATAGTTCTTTTCATTTACCCTCGACCCTCCCCCCCCCCAAAAAAAAAAAAAAAAAAATCAAACCAATATTGCCTTATATTTTTACTTCAAATTCTCATCAACCCTTTAATCAACGCAAAACATAAGGTGCTGCAGTTTAGAATAAAAGCGGTACAGCATGTCATAAGACAACTCACTTCTCAGTCTTAGCTAGCCTCTCTGCATTGGGCATCCACACGTGTCTAGTGACCCACATCAATGACAGCCACCAGGCTACGATGAACCAAAATGACCACAGGCTGGTCAGAGAGGATCCGGGTGGGAAACAGTGCCAGAATAGATAACCTGGGATACCCTGAAGTGGGAAATTATTGAAATACAAATGTGATTTTAATGTTTTTGTTTTCTTTTTTCATTGTGATCAACACAGTTTGGTCAAAATAAACAAATGCTGAAAATAAGATGCATGCGTAACAAAATTTCAACTTCTTTAGACTGAAAACAACTAGCAAATTGCATGTTATCAAAATGTCCGTGTAGGTAACATTAAATAGCTTACCGTAAAAGTGGTTTGGTTGATATTCCAAAAGTGGCACCCTGCGAATAGCAGACCCAGCGTGATGGGGGTGACAAGTAGCAGAGGTGGAGCGAAGCTAATCCGCTGCATTTTCACCTGGCATGCCACCTTGGAGCAGTAATAACAAACCAGACGTACGCACACCAGTACGACAGCCGTATACACAACGTCGAGGTCCGTGCCAACATCTTCTTTTCCAAAGTACACGTTAGAGTCGGCTTCGCATCTTGCAAGACCTGGTTGCAGATAAAACATATCCTCGGCGGTGAAGCGTCCAGTCCCGATGAAAATAGCTAACATGAGAGCAAAGCTCAGAACTATCTTCCATGGGCACATGAACACGTAGAGCTTATACCTCGAGCGCCGTACTACAGCCCTTGCCTTCGTCAGAAATCGTCGCACTGGGTTCATGTTTGAGTGATGAGCTTTGGTGTCGATATAAACGTAGTTCTCCCACCAGCTGAACGAGATCAAGAGTAGAGCCAGAGGGGTCAGCCAAAGCACGTAGCCCGGAGTGCCCCTAAACACGACCTGCATGTTGTCCACTCCTGCGGCCACCGGCCAGACGACCAGGGCCGAGATTTGGGCCAGGGTGGCCAACACGTCAAACGTGATCTTAACTGGACGGAGTTTTTCTTTTGCTGGGCGGATGACCAGTTGGAGTAGGGCGGGTAAGAAGGCAACACCGTTGAGCACCATCAGGCTTTGGACAACGTCGAAATAAGGTAGGATAAGGAAGGTTAGAAGACACAATCCACAAGTATGGGCGGTTTCGACTGATGTAACCTGGGGAAAAAAATAAAGGGAAGGTATATCGTAAGATATATCAATCATTTGATTGACAAAGAAATATCAATAAACGTGCTTAACAATTTTATCATCTGTTTATTAATCAATGAGGGTTTTGGGTTTATACAGAACAAACTTACCAAAATTGCCACTTTCATCGTCGGCCATTCCGTCTGTTTGAACAAAATCTTCCAAAGGCACTTGACAAAAGTCAAGAGATAAGGCAAGCATAAGACAGCAAACAATGCCCAGATCCATTTTACTGCCAACTCGTCACACAACTTCAGCGTCACCCTGGGAGCATCCGCTCTTCGAAATCTGGTAACATTATCGTCTGGTTGGAAGACATCTTTGGGAACAATGTAGCAGCTATTCAGGTTGAGCGCCTGAGGCGGTAGTGTAGTGGACGATAATGTCGTTGTTGATGTTGTTGCTGTTGTCGTCGTCGTCGTCGTCGATGGTAAAGATGTGGTTGGAACCGTCGAATTTGTATTGGCGACTTGCCTTCGTAGTCTCGCCAATACATCGTCACCGGAATCGCTCGTTATTGAATATGGTTGCAATGAGATGTCTAGATTAACCTCACAGGATATTTCGATATCTGGTCGCAATCGTGAGGTGATAAATAACAATGTTCCCCTGGCAATAACTGCAGCCGCAAGGATGAGGATAAAGAAGAGAATGCAGACTATCACTTTTGCGCATTTTTTCGTTATTTCCAGGCAATAACTGTCCTGCGATGCATCTCTGTCATCGTCTGGTTTTACTTCGAAAACGTCCCAGGATCGTTTTGTGCTGTAAAATAGATGAAAAATAGTGAAAAATAATCTTACGCCGGCGTTAGATATACATTTATACATTTATATAATATGTTTTGTGTAAAACACAAGGGGATCCTGATACAAATACGACGTACAAAACTAAACATCAGGTATGCAAATATCATATCATATCAAATAAATAGACTTGCATAAAATGATGAATTAAATTTCCACTTTTGGAAAACAATGAAAATATCATTCATATTTCTAGGTCACTTCTTTGAATGAACCTGACGTTGTCATGTTGTCACTAGTTGCCCGTCTATATACGAAATGACTGAAAAAAAAAAAAAAAGATTCCAGATTATAAAGGGAAACTTTATTTTCGTTTTTGTTATACCACATTAAAGTCAAAATTATTTCTACCTTTTTGTCCTGCCAAGGCTCTGTCCCGCCGGGGAGTTTATCTTGTTGAGATCAAGTTTAAGTCCCGAACTGTTCCGCAACGCATGTTTAGTAGTTAAACCATTCTCCCTGAGTTCTATACTGTCAACCATTTTATGTTTAAAATTACATGTGAGGTAACGTTTTAAATTCCAAATTTTGTGACAAAATAAAAACTGTCACCAACCACGAAAATTCTTATTTTTCTACATGCAAGTAATGCTAATTAACTCTTGAAAAGATATTCAAAACGAGATATATAAACGAAATTAAATAACAATGCACTGTGGCTCGATGAAGTAATTGTAAGTGTCTGTCTGCATGTACACGACCCATATTATATATTCGGTAGCTGTATGTTAATTTAATAGTTATTTAATGTGTGTGATTAAGCCCAGGTAGCACACCGGAAGCTCTGAAGGAACTGTGGACGTCACAGTCTATCTTCCATAAATCCAACGTAATGTGTAAGTAACCGCGCTTATGTCTTTTTAATGTGAGCCGTCGGTAAAATAAATAAATAAATGGGAATATCCGACAGATAGCCAATCAAATAAGGCCGAGGAAAAAGTTGGATGAAGTTGAATGGCAGGGGGATTGCTTGAGTAAACTGGGATATTTTTGGCGATTTTAAAACAGTACTATATTTGTTGGTGTCGTGTGTTTTTAGATAAAAAGTATGTCATGCCTGTTTAAGGCATGTTTAAATAAACTTAGTTTGTGTTTTCTTGGCCGAATTGTCGTTTTAATATAATATACATATATTTATAACAAAGATTTTTATCATGTCTTACTGATAAAATAGTTATTAAGGGTAACTTATTTATTATTTTTATTATTTTAAAAGCAATTTTTCTCTTTTCATTTGGATATTCAAAAACTTAACCTATTTAAAAATCTACCGGACGTTTTAAACCTTAAGACCCTGGTATGGGTGACATCTATCTTGGGTCAAAAAAAAAAAAAAATTAAACCTTTTTTTCGTGACCTTTGTATACCACAAGTATACTTAAGGAACTAATATATCACATCCGTATGTCCGAAGTCCGAAACATGATCCGTTCTGGGAACTATTGTCCTCTTGTCCCTTTGATATCAAAACAAGAAATGCCGTGCGTCGACAAATAAATAATTTTCTTTAACATCAATCTAGTAAAACGAGGTGTACATGTACATTATAGTGTGGGTTTAGTGGCCATGGCTTAAGTGTGGGTTTGGTGGCCATGACTTCCATTTTAACGAGAGAGCACTTTCCTCTTAAAGGAGACAAATAAATAATTTTAAAAAAAACTAAACAGCAACTCTTACAACACTCTCATCTGCGATTTCTGCGGTAGAATATGTCTATCTATACATTGGCTTTTACAAAAGAAATATTCCCAGGGGTCTCAAAAACACACTGCCCATGGCAATTCGTGATCGAAAAAAAAGCCTTCTTAGGTCTTGAAAATAAAGTTTGAAAGTTTGATGAATCAGTATAGAGCGATTCATGACATCGTTTTATCTCGCTAAGCATTACATATGCCATGCTGTAAAAGTACATGTAGGTTCACTTGTACCAAGAAACGCTGAATAAAAGCTTAGAATAACGAAACATAGCCAAATAATTCTTGCAAAAGCAATCCATACAGAACCTATTTCTATCTACATGTACATGTAATATTATGTGATAGCTTAATATATTTTCCCGCCAAATACATCCCTACCTTGGCTTAGAAGTACAGTTGGAAATGGAAATAAGATTGCAAATTGAAATCTTAGCCTCCTTTCAAGACAGTGGATGAAATACTATTATTAATGGTTGTGAATATTAAGATTGTGTGTAACAATCCAGTACCACAAAAATGTCAAATAGCAAGATTTGACACATTGAAAATGAGAAAAAATAATTTTCTTCTTGGAAACAAGACATATTTGGCACGTTCTACTATATGCAGTAAGTCATATGTAAACATGTTTCCTTTTAAATGAACGCTTTCCCACCAGATTAATAAATTGGGGACATTAATCAAATCTCAATGAGTCATGAATAAGTAAATATAAATCTCATAGATTTTACGTACTTCGTCAAGGGTCCTGGAGAGAGGGGCAAAAAAAAAAATGCTGGTCGTTTTTGACTTCTTCTTGGTCATTTTAAAATTAGCTACTCAGTCGATTTAAGAGCACTGATTTCACTCAACAATTGGGCATATATATGTGTGTATATATCATCCGCTACCCACATTACTTCAGCGATGACGTACATATGCTCTAGTGCATCCTTTCATCCTTTCTTAACAATAACATTCTACTATCCCCTATATGTTGTAGATTATATAAAGTTGCGCACATTGTATTATTAATTACAACAAATTTTTTCTCTTAAAACATTTTGTTCTTTTTCATTTTTATCTATTATCATTATTATTATCATTATGCCTACGCAAATGATTCTTGTTAATACACTATTAAAAACCTATTATATATTATAATACTGACGTAAATAGGTAAGACTCCAATAAAAAAGGGGCGTTTGTTATAACAAACAGCACTCGAAAATAAATCACAGAGTTACGGGATTTGGTTTGTAAAATATGCTGAGTAATGAATATGAAAATGCGTTATTACACTTTTTAATGTGTTACTTGAGCATATATAAGGAAAGGTCCATTGTCTTGGAAGTGTAAAAATAGCATCAGATCATTATTCTTTATCTTTGATAAGAAACCATATAATGAAAGCACGGCATATTACCTACACGCAATTGAAAAATAGAAAATTCGGGGAAAAAACAAAAAATACCTGTACTTCTCTTGACCTTATCTTTTTACGAATACATACTGTATAATTTATTTGTGTCCCTCTGTTGTCAAAAATTCGAGAGTTGTTAGGTCCCCGACTTAAATTTTGTAGAATTGAAACATGAAAAAAAAAAAAAGATTAGGAAATATCCTTAAACTATCAAAGACAGGCTTGAGACGACAGCACTACGAACACTAGTATATATAGTTTGTAATATCAAAGTGTAAAAATGTAACATAATAATAATAATTACTATTGTAATGATATTTACACTTTATCTCTAAACGTGTCATGTGGTGCAGCTCGAGATATTATATTCGTACTTTATGGCCTTTGCAAGTAATAATAATAATAATAATAATATTTATTTCCTAAAACTGCACTACACTAGTGTCTCAGTGCTGTTTACAGGTAAAATTATCAGGATTACAACTAATTATATATATAATAAAAGCTAAGGTAAAAAACGATTAAAATAATTAAAGCTGGTTAAAATAGTAATGGTCTGAACAATAAAACTTTTTTTCTGATAAAATGAGAAAATATTAATTAAAATACTGTGCAAATAAGAACGTTTTTAAATCTTTTTTAAAAACCTCAACACTGTCAATAGTCCGAATGTGTGAGGGTAATTGATTCCATAAAATTGGTGCTGAAATTGAAAATGCCCTGTGGCCGTAGGTTTTGGATGTTTTTTTATTATCATTTCTGATAAAACAAGGAGTGGAGGTGGATCTGGTAGACCTGGTGAGACTTGGTGTACTTGGATGTAGCATCGAGTTAAAATATGAGGGGCATTCACCTCTGGTGAATTTAAAAACAAACAACAGTAATTTAAAAACAATTCTCTGTCGTACAGGAAGCCAATGTAGTTCGAATAAAATGGGTGAAATGTTTGATCTGAGAGGGATTTTGGTCAGTAGTCGTGCTGCAGCATTTTGGACCGATTGCAATGTAAGCAGTTAAAAACACGCAGTATAGGCACGAGGGGCAAAATATTTCCATCGCAATGCGGCGAGTTTTTAACTTACAACCACTGAATATGCTACCTTAAACCCAATTAAACTAATTATTTAAAGTAAAATAAAACTGAGTGAAATTTTAGATCACCCACAAGTGTTCATAAATGGTGAGAAAAGGAATTGACTTTCATAAGAGTCAAATTAAGTTCAACAAGTTCTGAAACAACATTTGGAAAAAAATTGTAAAGATTCCGCTGATACTTGGCATTAAGGGAAACTATATAAGTATCAAACAATGGAGTATGTCGAGTCCGCAGTTAAACTGTGCATTGCGGTAGAGAAGTCATGGTGAAGCCCCTGTTCACTTAAACGAATTTGTTAAATAGGCCTATCTTGGGAATATGAAAAATCAATCTGTCGCCCTAGTAGAGGATATCTTGGCGACACAAGCAGGCTTACATATGGATTTTATGTGATAATTGATATGCCTATAAATCTCTCTCTCTCTCTCTCTTCTGTGGGAGTGTGTGTGTGAGAGAGAAAGAGAGAGAGAGAGAGAGAGATTCTTAGAAATACCTGCTCATTACTTCGCCCTCAAGACTTAGTCATAGACGCGAATAAAACGAGAAAATCTCGCGTCTTTCAGGCAAGCTCCTATACGTGAGAGATAACGATAAAGAGGGTTATTTAGTTCGTGTACGTGCTTTTTTACAGGTTTTTTTCTTTGAAAGCAATCAGTACTTCCTCATACTTCATGTCTAATCAATCGTTCAATTTCAAACTTTTGAAAAGATTAGCTAGTGAATAAAATCACGATGGATTACACTGATTACGCAAACAGAACTCTAATAAAGAAAGTGGATAATGAAAAAAGAAATAAACAACTCGCCGTGTCATATACAGTAAATTTACAAAAAAACATACCAGACAGACAAAGTTTGTTTTTCACATCATAAAGGCGGGGAGAAGCCTACATGTTAACAGAAGGCTTAGGCCTACAACCGAAACCCGATTTCACATTTATCACGTCCCCTATGAACATGTGTAAATAGTATTGATAGTATACCATAGTAGAAGCTTGAACTAACAGTGCAAAGTCACAGTACAGAGTATCACATTGATACCTCTAAGGACAGAGTCACCAACAAAGTTTTATTTACGATAGAATATGTTATTTGAAAACGAAAGCAACCATATATAGTTGATACATATATGAGTAGAGTTATCGACAACGAATTGACTTCACTCGAAATTTTATTTTGACATTTTCATTGGAACGAGTCTGACATGTATGTGCACGAGTACGCAGTTGCCTCTATTTATCTTTTAACCGTTACATGACACCACGCTGCCCTAAATAAATCTAACATTTGTCTTATTTCTTGCAGAAGTGTTGAATAAAACTTTCTTGGTTCATCAAAAACTTTAAATTGAATATTGATACCAGCGTCCCATTTCCTTGTCTTTTTATCTTTGGCAAAAATGATTTCTAAAAAATGCAGCTTTGCCAGGATTATCGCACAGTATGTTTACTTAAGAAGTTGTGTCAGTGATAGTTATCATGCGTCACATCACTAATCCAGTTTGCTTGATGAGAAAAAGAAACTCTTTATCATTTGTAATTGCAATACAACGAAGAAAACACGACAGACTGTACAATACTAGACCGTGAGTTATTGTGGCCGATTATGTTTGACGTCCCTTTAATGTTTTTGTTTTTTCTAAACGA